TTACAGGATAATAAATTATTTTTTTTTAAGTTTGCAACTGCTGCGTCGACTCGTTTTCTGTAAAAGTTGCTTGGTAGTTGAGTTATTCCTTGTTATTTTTACACTCTGATATTTCTTTTTTTTTTCTTCTTCTCGCAAATAAATTAATGTAAATGGTTTGATTTTAAATTACATCACAAGAGCCGCCATCGTGAGCGATTTTGTCACGTTTTATCTGTCCACTTGCCCATTATTATTTATGAATACTATGCAGATGTAATAACCATAGGAATGCAATTAAGATTTCGCTTTTCTATTTCTTCAGCAATAAACTCCATTGGTAATCGTAGGTTCAACGATAAGCAATCAACAAGTTGCATTTTAGATACTTTAATATGATGTTTTCATTTAATCATCAATTAGACAAATAGTCAACTACATTAATATCTATTATAGTGCAGGTAATCGGTTCCGCTAATATCCCGCACTGTTTGAAACCGGACTTCCGTATGAAAAGAGACGGAAGAGAGAATTGAAATTTTCATAACTTAATTTGCGATATATTGCTGTACTTATTAATTATTTAATCTACGATTCTATTTATGTAGTGAAAAGAACCGTCAATGACAGTAGACTTGGTAGTAAGTAAAACCGTAGATCATAATAGATTTTTGTTGTAAGAAGAACCGTAGATCATAGCAAATTTTTGCAGCAACTAGAAACGTAAATTTTGTTCATTGAAATGTTTTTGTATAGTGGGAGAAATAAAGGAACGTCAAATTGATGGATTAGGAATTGTGTAGGAAACGAGCCATTCAGTTTGCTGCGGCCGATCAAAAATCCGACGTAGACTTGGTAGTAAGTATAACCGTAGTAGTCTTTTGCAGTTAGAAGAACCGTAGATCATAGTAAACTTTTGCAGCAACTAGTAACGTATTTCATAGTAGACTCTTGCAGTAAGTAAACCCGTAGATCATCGAACGTAGATCAAGAAGAACCGTAGATCATAGTAAACTTGGTAGTAAGTAGAACCTATAACAGTAGACTTTTGGAGTCTAGAAACGTAGTTCATAGTAGACAATTGCAGTAAGTAATCATAGTAGACGGTATATCATAATAGACTTTTATAGTAAGGAGAACCGTATATTATAGCATTTAGGAAAAGTGTAGATCATAGTTGGCTTTTGCAGTAAGTTAAATCGTAGCAACATAGATCTTTAGTAGAATCGAAGCACCATAGACCACGGTAGACTAAGTTCATAACTGTAGCTCCATAAATCACAATAGACTATTTTGGAAGCATTTTAGTACCATAGACCACAATATACTATTTATGTAACATCCTAGTACCACGAAAAACTATTTCGGTAGAGTCGTGGCACCATAGAGCACGGTAGACTATTTCGGTAGTATAGCAGCACCATAAACTATTTTGGTACCATCGTACTACCAAATACCAATATAATACTTTAGATACTAAAGATATACAATCGTGTGCAATTAATTTAATTAATTCTATTTGTAATACAGTTATAAAAATACAGTAATAATGCAATTCATCGATTCATGAGATTCAAAAATACAGATAATGCAACTGTGAAACGTGCATCGTCCATCAATAATACTTTCAATCTATTTTTACGCATTGCATGCACATCACTTACAACATTGAATTGATTTAGCTGCTGCGATTATAAAGCAATACACTTTCAATCAGGCTTCAATTAGCTGTAACTGGATGTACGGAATAAAAAAAGGAACATATTCAATGCATTTTAGAAATTTAATTTCTGTTACAAATTTATATTACAGTAATATACTTTGTCTAAAAACAGTTATTTCTTTTTTTGTGAAAAAAAATGTTAACTGTTAAATAATAATTATTATATTGAGAGTAATTTGTAACATATTATTTTTACAATTAAATTAAAAAGTACTATAAAAATAATTATATATCAACAGAAATAAGTCTTCTGGTATTTTTCGTGAGGCAATCATATTTCCAAGAAAATCAAATATAACCATATTAGTAATCGTAGATTGCAGTCATCTTTTCTACCTGCGATCCTTACAATCATCTTCACTATCGATGTTTACTCGAAACACGATCCAAGCAAAAAGATTAAGAATGAACTTGGGTGTATTATTCATTCAGATTTCTTGGTAAACCTTGCAAATAGTAAATCATTAAGAAAATATTCGTTAAAATCTCATTTCTTATTCCAGTTGACTTTTTTTATAAGTAATTTGTTAAAGAAAAAAATTGTATTATTAAGAAGATTAATCATCAATAAGTGTCAAAAAACAATTTTGCATTATGAATTGTAATTAAAGAAATTTAGCTTGAAACTAAAAACAATAGTTTGATGTTATTTTATATAATAAAGAAACTTTCTTGTATTACAAAATAATGGAACAGAAAGAGAATTTCATAACAACCGGAAAATAATGTATTCCACAAGAATGTGATGACATTTGACAAATTTATATGCAAATGAAATGAACCAGAAAAAAAAACAAGTCTTTTTTTTTGTATATAGTAGACAGGTAAAACTCAATTCAAAATTATTTTATACTAATATACAATTTTATTTATTGTAATATGTAACAAAATATAAAATAACAATAAGTATATTTATTTTTTTCCAACTAAATCCTTTAACATTTGCTTTTCACAGTCAAAAAGTATTGGAATCTGATGTAAGAATGGTTAACATGTATCATGTGCTAAGAGTGCAACCGAAATGGAATTTTAATATTTGTTGCGTGCTTTAGTTAAAACGTTTAAATGATATAATAGTAAATCGCTTAAGCATGTATCGAATCTTAAATATGTTAAAAGTGAAGAATCAAGGCAAGCTTATCTAACTTATATTCAAATAAATAATAAAGTGAAAATGAATTGAATATGCGCATAAAATTTTATTAAATTTCAGGTATAAATTAAAAAGTAATGACCAATTAAACAATGTAAATAGTCCCTCATTGTCTTGCGTTTACTTGCGAGGAACGTTGGTAAGTCTTTTACGGCAGGTGTACCTTGGGGTTGGACTATAACCACCGGAAGTTATATAAGAAAGGGTCGCACTTCCTGTCCATGTTTTCGAACAGCAGGTAGAACGGCGGTAGATCTAAGAAACGTGATGTTCCTGATCTATTTGCAAACGGTTGTGAATGAAAATTCATTTTTTTTAATGTTTTTGCATAACATGAGGCATTTTCAAGTACTCGTACTCCTTGCGGTGTTAATGTAGAAAGTTTCGCTTCATAAGTATGTGTAAATAAGCAGAAATGAGAAAAGCAAAATGAGCGAGGCGAAAGAAAAAAAGAAGAGAGTAAATAAAAGGAGAAGGAAGGAAAAGAGTGGATTAAACAAGTTGCGCTTTTGATGGTTTCGTTTTAACTTTCGCCAAACCGACCGAAAGAAATAAATTTAGCAAGGAATGCAAATCATTATCATTACGGTATAATATATTTCAACAGTTTTTACGCATTTAGAAAATATGTAATTTTAATGTTTGGTTAAATGAAGCAAAAAATTAAATTATACAATTATTTTATAAAACAATTAGTTTTTTTAAATCATTTATTTAAAGTTATTCATATTATAGATTCAGATTTAAACGTTTCCAAAACTGTGCTATATAAGATTACTTCAAAGAGAAACCTTTCCGTGTACTTGAATGAATGTTTTTTATGTATAATTATAGGAATTACCTATGAGTTATAATTATACCAAATTATTTTGACATTTGAAATATTACTACTAGAATAATGTAGTTTTTCTAGGAAACACTGCTTTCTTTACTACATCTGTTATTATTGCAATTGATGTTAAATAGTGAATTTTTATTAAGAGAATTTGGTAAATAATTCTTAAGTATAATATTCAATTTATAAATGACAGTATTTATTGCAATAACCATAAAATTACATAAAGGACATTTTGTTCAAGTTATAAGAATATTTGGTAATTATAGGATGTATGGAAATAATTGAATTTGTTTTAATCGACCTTCTAGCTTCCTATTGTTTTTGGTAATTAAGACTTCTTCAATGCCAGAATAATATAGTGTTGACGGAATTATGATTTTCATTCTTTCAAAGATATTCCTTCAAGCAAGAAATTTATAAATGCATTCAATTATATCTGTCTAGATTATTATACAAGTATTGATACCTGCTGGCTTATGTTCTCATACGCCTGAAGCGGCTACACCCTATATATTAGCAAACGTAAATGAGATGAAGAGAATAAAACGATGCGAATGTACATAATATATACGAGTTTGTTTTCATCGCGTATTTCTGCGGGGATCGAATAAATATTAATAAATAAGCGTTTGAAGAATGCAAGAGATTCAGAGTGACCTTAATCCAAGGCGGCGTGACATGCAGCAGAAGATGCGACGGTGTGCATTGCTTCGCAAACATTCACTTAACCTTGTGCCACGACGGTATTTTATAAATATAAGTTTTACAAACGAAATGAAACAAGACATAAAAAAACAGAGAGACACACACAAACAGCAAACTTGGATCTTTATGCAAATCTCACAGATTTATCTTCCACACCGCAATGCAGGATGGAATGAAGTATACGAAATGACGCACATCAGGAACCATCCAATGTAATTACATATTAAGAACATAGGTTACTTGATGACTGGTAGTTTGCTAAATTAAATGTCTTTATGCAAATACTAGACTCTGTTCTTGATTTACTATTAGGATTTGCAATTTAGGACCACCTACAAAGTTAATACCTTTTTGGATTGGACTAATATATCCATAGTAATAGATTTTATTGAACAATCAAATAGTTTATACATAAATATTTTATTTTTTTCATTGTTGTATAATATTTTCAGTTAATGCAACAACAATGTCTCGGAATCTTCTCACGATTCCATTCGCCTCTATTATACTATTAGTTTAATCGCTGTATAATTTCGAAAATAAGTTTAACGTAATTTTATTTAAAATATAATAAAACTAGATTTGTAATTAAATTATGCGCGTAAAAGTAACTAAATATCTGGTTATTTATTATTGTTTTCTGGTATCATACAGAAACAGTACATAAAGTAGAAGAGAATTAGAGGAATAAAATGTTATTAAAGGATTAAATTAATTAAAATTATTTACAAATAAGACACACGAAGTATGTTTGTATTGATTTCAGTTATGCGACGCCCTGCAAATATGGACCTCCTCCATTCCTTCTGTCGATTGTTCCGTAGCTGTAACTGTATGGACCCAAATTCATATTCGCCTGTTTCCTAGGCCATGCCTTACTCTTGTAGCTGTTGCAAGCGATAAGACTGTTCATACCAGGTGGACGACTTCTCTCGATGGATATTCCATTTCCGACGCTCCTAATACTGGAAATTTTCAAAAGTCAATACATTCACGCAATGCCTCTAAATCATTTCTTACCTCTTCGCGCTCTCCGTCACGCTAATACTAGCCGACCTTCCTATGCTTCCATTGAAATCGCAATTGGATATTTTTTCATCTTTGATTTCCACGTATTCCGCGGTTTTCTTAGAGCATAGCAAACATGCAAATACACTGAAGCCAACAATCAAGTGAGTTCCCACAACGAACATCGAGGCATTCCTAAATCCTATGTTATCATATAAGATTCCACTAACCGAAGGCCCTATGAAAGCGCCCAACGCGAATGTGCTTGTCCACAAACCGGAAATCAAACCGAAAGTTTCCAAATTGTTGGGGAATCCGTGCGCGCTAAAAGATGTATACATTTTTTTCTCTGCTCATTGCAATTTTGTAATACTTAATACTTACATACTAGTTCTTAAAGCATCTGTGAATGACGCAACGAGCTGCGCTCCAATTCCTAAACCGTGGAGGACCAATCCGACAATGGTAAGGGGTAACATTCTAAAAAAAATATTTTTCAGTTCTTTTCAATTGTATGCAACCAAACACACTTACGTATTGGTGGGTATGAAAGGTGCAGGTCCCACCAAAGAAAATCCGCAAGCGACTAGTATGGTTCCTAAAATTGTTATGACTTTCGGTGGACAAGTTTTATCACAGAATCTTCCCCATATCGGAGCGGATATGGCATAAGTGCCGCCGTTAATTACGAACATCAGACCTAAAATAACTGGTGGTAGCAGGAATTGCCTCAGATGGGGTTCCAATGTTGCTTGCAAGAATCCGATGGACATGCTCGTAACTATTATACTAGCAGCGGATAGCATAACTCCGGGAATTTTAAGAACGGTATACATGGAAGCTGCAAATTTAAACGTGCATTAAAATGAGGAAATCCAAAATTTTGGGTGCGCTACTTACAACCACTTTCCATGTCCCGTCCTTCCTCGTGGTGAGGCAAAATGAATCCTGTGAATATCGCAGCAAGAAATAGGGCTGAGCCCATCACAGCAAATGGCATTGTGTATCCACCGACTTCATAAAGAGCACCTCCAACTGTCGGGCCAACAATTAAACCTAACCCGAAGAAAGTTTCCAATGAAGCCTAAAAGTAATAAAACATTATTGATATAATCTACAAATGTTAAGTGTGGAAAGCAAACTTACAAAAGTAGTAGCCACATTGTCGGGAAATTCTTTGGCAATCAATGCAAAGCTAGCTGTCAGGAAAGCAGCATTTCCCATGGCCTCCACAATACGTATAATGAACGACAAAATGATGAAGGGATAGTGACCTTGAACTTTATCTAAAAATCTACACAAAAAAATGTTAATATTCGAGCCTAAAACAATAGCATAATTGTATATACCCAAATAAAATGGAGCAAACTCCGGTCGTGTAAATTCCTCCATTGAAAAGTAACTTAGGTCCTATCCTGTTTAGGTGCTGTCCATAAAATGGACTTACCAAAAACACGATCAGTTCAAAAATACCAAATACCAAACCATATTCGGTGGCTGTTGCTCCTTTCCTTTCAGCCTGAAACGAAATTCATTCATTATCACCGTAAGAAGCAGGCTTTTCGTAGGATAATAATATACGTAGCAAAATATATTTTTTGTTTACACGAGATGGTGTTTAATACTTTCGAGGCGCCAGAGTGCGATACCAAAAAATAAAATAAATTTATCTGTCGTATGGAGTTTCATATAGTCGTTTGACCCATAAAATTATGTTTAAATAACGTCTGGTTGCAAAATTGGCTGCAATAAACAAGTGCGTTTTTGTCCTCTGATCATGAATTTATCAATCGTTATATAAGCGATAGATGATTTAATAATTAGAAAATAATGGGAAGACCGACAGCATGATGTTGTTCATTTGCTCAAGCAAATCTTTGATCACTTGATAAACCCATTTATAAATAATATTTTGTACAAATTGCTGCGAGTGTTGATGTTTAGTTAAACTATATTTAACCCCAATAACATGTAATAACAATATTGACGCAATAAATGTGTTTTTTTTTTGCTATCTCAAGATGCATGTGAAACATTATTACTAATACTAATTTTTATATCTCAAATTACATTTTGTAAAATTTAGTGTTTGCATTTAAAGCGTTAAATACATTTTTATTGATAATTTCGGAGAAATAATAGATAAGTTGTATAGATTACAATTAATCGCAAAATAAAGAAACGAGGGTTCGTTTAGTCTAAAATTTAATGTTTATATTATATTTCTAAATAAACACTTAGCTTATCAAGTAAATGGGCACAAGAAAGTTTAGATTTCAATATTTGGTAAATATAAATAGAATTGTTTGTTTCGTATTCAATGTTGTTAAATGTTAAAAATAAGAACAACTCTCTAAAAATAATAACATTTATACCAAAAATAGCACAGTTTGTGAAAAAAAGAAGCCTATGAATGATTGCAACTGTTCGTAATTCTAACCTTTGTAACTTTATAAGTTTATTAAAGTTAATTTCTTCATTATGATTATAATTATAAATATTTTGAAAGGAGACAATAATATGTTTACGCGTACGTTATCCTACACATTCTATATCGAGAATATTTAAAGCAGCGATAAGTTAGACAATAGGTTCTTTGAGTTTAAAGTCTCGGGACAAATTAAAAATTAATAAAAATGAAGAGAAACATATTCATCACTTACCTCTTGCGGATAGAATGGAGCCTGCAGGGATACGCAAATTGCGTTACAAAAATCCGCAATTCCGATAACAATTAGTGTTAGCCACTGTCTCTTCGTGAATTGCACCATTTTCCTTTTATGAAAAAGCTTACGAAACGCGCACCAAAGCAGAAAACAATTTTTTTAAGTAGAAAAATTCAAAAATAAATTAGTTTATTAAATTAGAAATAATAATAATAATGATGTTATTTAATAAACGAAAATAGAATATTTGACAAACCGTTGCATTTAACTCACTAGAAAGTTCGAAAGTTCTTTCAGGATTAGATAATTATTGTAAAAGAATATTCTATTTATCATATTGCATGTTATATTATTTATGAAAAGAAATATTGGGCGCGCGTCGTGTTTATGTGTCTATGTCACTTTTCAGTTGTTCAGGTTTATGTGTAGATATGAAGGAATGGAAGTGATGTGAAACACGCAAACCGTGTTGCTGTGTTTTTGCTGTGAACGTTTGTCGCGCACTGAAATTTTCGAAAAGTCCAACGCACGTATTGATGAAGAAAAAAGGCGAGAAGATACAACACTCGGCTGAAGATAAATCTTTGATCGCGATAGTTTATTGGCCTTCTGCGCGCTTTTTCAGCGGGAATATTTGAATGTGATGCAGACGCGGCCTATACGAGAAGCTCTTTTCTTTTCTCTCTGCGTAAAGAGAGAGGCAAAGTTCAAAGTTTAATGAGTTCAACAATAATAATTATAGATTCGATAACCAAGCGCAAAATTACATTATTATTTTTGTCCACCGTATGCATTGTCTTCCGTAGGTTTAGCTACTAATTTATATTTTTGTTCAAATATATGAAACTGTTTATTTTATACACTCTGTGGAATATTACTTCTCTTTGATAATTTTGTTTTTACAAAATCTTTCCGTTTATAATAGGAAAATTCTTGATTCATCTACCACTGCGTTATTATAACTTGAACGTGCTATTTATTATAATTATTGCTTCCAATATATCTAATTAATAATTAAATAATGTTTATATTATACAAAATATTCCATTAAATATTATAATTTTCCGGGCTAAAAGACCTATTTCTTTTCTTTCACTTTTTTATATTGTAAATTTACCACTGACTGATCATTATTTCTAAATATGGAATAATTTTAGAATTTAATAAACTTGTTTAATGGTTTGAAAAACATTATTATTTGTGATATATCAGAATTAATGAATGGATCAAAATGAAAAACAAATCTCGAATTTTATTATATTCATATTGTTCGTAATTTAATTTGTGTATGACTTTAATTTTATATTTATTTAACCTTTCAATTGGATTGGATATTATTTATCATTCTTTCATTCGTTTAACCATCATTATATTTATACAAACAAAAAAAAAGGTTTTAGAATTTAATAAGTTTCATTATAATTACATAAATTAATGGTTTAGTGCTATTGTTATTATCTGAATATTACTTTATCAAAATGATTATTTTGTTGTTAATGACGCTCAGAGACTTCATTTCTTAAAATTTGTTTTGTGATTAAATTTTGTGTACAATTTTAATATTATATCTGTTTGTTCTTCCAATTGGATTGGATATGATTTATCATTGTTTCATAATCACTTTATAATTTGTTTACTACTGATAATTGTTATGTGTTTTGTCATCGTACTTTATTTTCATTCTATTATGTTTGAAATTTCAGAAAGTACAAGTTTTTTTTGTTATACAATCATTGTTTTCAATATATTTAGAATTATTAATAACTTATTAATTGTTTATGACATACTGAATATTACAATTACTATTATTATTTTTTATAGTAAACTTTTTTAATATTGAAATTTGTGTATTTTCTTAAGTTCCAATATTTGTTCTCATTTTTCATGAATTCAAAGAAATGTTTGTTCCATTTTATGTTTAAATTTTAGTAATTTTTTTCTTGTTTTTATTTACTACTACAAAAACAATTTAATTCAAATTAACTTTTAATTTATTAACTTTCTATTGGTTGCAAAAATGTAACTATAAAGATTACAGCCAATTAAAATTAATTTGTTGTAATGATTATTTACTAAAGCGAGATTTTGTAAACTTCTAGAACTGTTTTTCTATAAACTTCTACTTTAATGGAGTAATCTGACTTACAAAAGTGTAGTTTTCTGAAATAATAATTCGTAAATCGAAAAGTTCTATAACTTATATACAATTTTTGGGAAAGTGTTTATTTAAATATTATTTATAAATACAGTGGAATCTCGTTTAACGAGTTTAATCCGTTTAAAAATTTCCGGATTTTTACTAGTTTAGTGAAACATATTCAAAAATACACATAATATGTATACACATTGGTTAGAAAGACCTATGGTCAATAGCCCTTTGTATCAGTTTGAAATTATATATATTTATTTTGTTATTTTTATTTCTCTATATGTTTTTCTGTACGACTGATGCAATAAACATTATTATTATTTATGTGTACACAAGTTTTAAAAATGATGTAGCAGGCGCACAATCCGGGACTTCTCTTCTCATCGTCACTCGTTTTGCGAAACGTCGCTCGTTAAGCGAGTCATTTTTCGTACAATTCATCTTGCTCTTTAAGCGAAATACTGGTTATGCGAGGTGCTCGTTAAGCGATATTCAACTGTATATAATTCAATGTTAATCTGTGCACATTGTTTAGTCTCCCTTACGATTTTTATCATTTAATTTGGCAAGAAAATCAACGGACCAGATCAGCCGATTTGTTCAAGTTATCAAATTAATCGTGCGGTAGATGCGACATGATCTTTCTTGCAATTATCGCGCTCAATTTGTTGATTTTTATGTGTGTTGTTTGTTATTTCAAAATGTCTCGATTAAATCGTAATCACAAATTTGAAGCCAATTACTGCCATTTGCCTCCTATTTACGAAAAACCAGACCCCCTCCCGACGCTTTTACGCATTTAGAACGGCCTAATCGAACACATTTATTGCATAATCGAAAATAATTGCATTTATGCGCACAATTTCAAGTTCACGATGTTCTGTATCGAACATATTAAATTTATATTTTGTTTTTCAACGTTCCATTTTTGATACCTATGTTTTTTTTTGAATTCGAGAATTATCAATGAAAATTAGATAATGTGCAAACGTTTTCGGACTGTTTTGCAATTGAAAAATCGTCAAGGATTTTTTGTAAATAAAGATAATTAACGGCTCGGCTCAGTATCAAGTTGTTTTGTCTATAATCCGATTAAATATCAAACTAATTGTGTCTAATTTTTTCTCTCTCTACATATATTTTCATTAACATATTTTATTAACATTCAACAAGATGTAGTTGCAGGCCGATGATAGTGGAGTTTCGGTAACGGATGCGACCCAACGACCTTCACTTCTTTCATAAATCAAAACACTTGCGCGATACAACAATATCCCATTATACATTCATAAATTATCTACTTAATTAATAGGCGCCTATAAAAATCCGGTGATTAGCAGTTAGATCTAAGCGCGTATCGACGTATAAATAAATCAGACCGAAAACTTTTTACTACTACTTGTCACTCAAAATTCTAATCTGTAACTCCAACGAGTTCAATTTCGAGAGAAAATGTGACAGTGTTTGATATGTTATTTTATATTCAAAGGAAAAAAAAATGAAGAGAGTTATCTGTTTTTTGGCAATTGGTTCCATAACAGAGTTGATGCAATATTAATACAGAATTCGTCATTTTTCTGACGCCATTTTTGATTCGTTGCTCCAATTAGTTTTTTTTTTTGTTAATTTTGGAAATGAAATTTAAATAATAATTATTTTTGGTAAATTGACTGAAAAACACCAAAAAATGTAACAATAAACGCAAATATTAAGAAGTGTCTTAATTAAATTAATTTCAGTGTTAAAAGATTATCGGTCACCAGAAATTATTGATAACATTATTGATTGCAAATATTATTTTTTTTAAAAGCAGCAGACTTTTAGGAAAAATTTTATCGAAGCGATGGAAAATTTTTAGTTATTTTATCTTGAGCAATATTTGTTTCAAATAAACTTTATAGAAGATCAAAGATTGTTCAAACGAATGTTTTTAAAAGTTGAAATTATCTTTATTTACTTAATAATAGTTATATTCAGATTTTTATTATTAAAAGTTTCATTTAATTTGTTTTATTATATTATTGGTTTAAAATGCGGAAAAGGGAAGAAGAAAATATAAATAAATTAGTTTTTCACAATTTGTTTTCAATTATATATTTGTACTTTAATATAAAAGGAAAAAAGTAATAAACATTAATAATTGGTGTATATAATAAAATTAATCTACATTATTTACATATTATCTTAGAAGTGAATAAATATAAACGATTTGTGATATCATTATATGTGCGATGTTCCTACGTGAGCTTTTCAACGTAGAAATTTATTTTGGACGCCATTTGATGTGCGCCTATGCATCAGGCAACCAAACTTTAATTGGGACTTTGAGGAAAGCGCTGTTAAGGAATGCTGCAAAATGTCTGGATATACTTTGGGATGCGGCCGGCTTCATTTCTCTTATAATCTCGTCCGCATTGTTGTTCAAAAATTGATTTATTGCTTCACCTAAATATAAAAATAAAGTACATAAACGTTACTTAGATATAAAAATTCCAAGCTTTGTTTACCTATTATATTTCCGTTATTAACAACGTCCCGAACCCTGAAACGACTCTTTCCCAGTTTGAAATCCGTCAACATTCTTTCGATTTTCATGAATCTGACGCCTTCTTCATTCTCGATTTCCTTGCCAAATATTTTAGCAGCCGCTTCAACTTCCACTAAGAAATAAACAGATTTTGATTATTAATGGTTTGTTTAAATAAAGTTTATCTATTTTCAAATATAATCATTATTTGTTCTCAAACAATGCGCTTCTGAAATTCCAAAAACACCAGTTGTAAAACCAATAAACTTACTGCGTTTTATTCTGAGTATGGTTTATCGATTTTTAAATACTCTTGTATAAAATTTATATTTATATGTAAAAATTAATAGTGAATTAATTAAATATTATGAGAAAAATGTAAGAATTATTGTAAAAAAAATAAAATGTTGAAAATATTTATAAATACCCAAATTCTAGAAACGTTTTTTCTAAATATTCAATTTTTTAAACCTTTTATTTATTGAAAACCGTTTCTTTCGAAATATTCAAATTTTATACGAACTGTTTTTTTTTAAATTAGTTGAATTAAAAACCGTTTTTATTTGGTTTCGTATTAACCGTTTTCTAAAAATACTTCGAAAAACCGGCATTAAAAAAAAACGATTTTTTTTTAACGATTAATACTTACAAAAGATAGCCCAAAAGTTTCCTTTCGAGCGGACAGGGAAGAGCAGTACATTTCCTCCGACTTCGTATTTGCCCCTAATCTCGATCCGCGGCAAGTTAATACCCAACTCAATGTTCCAATGGTCAACGTCCGCCCTGTGAGGAACATAGAACAACATAGTAGATTATGATTACGAAATTGGTGATTTCGCTAGGTTTACTTGATTTTGCCAATGGTGTAATTACTGGCTCCATTCACTGTGATGTTGTTGAATAAGGCCCGAATCCTGAATGCCCCATGTCCGTTCTCGATTAACAGCCTATCGATAATTAATGGATCGATGCTCGGCACATTTATGTCCGTTAACCCGTTGATGAGATACGGCCGAAGATGATTGAACGTCCCCCGCAGACACGTGTTAATTTCAGGATCTGCCTTGTAACAAGGCAAAATATACTCCGCTAAAATTTAAAGAAAATATTAAGACTATTGAAAGTGAAGATAATAAAAAAAATATTAATATAAACATTAATCAATATAGATTACATTTCTTTACATATTTGTTGTATCAAAGTTGAATGGATTCAATAGTTTATACATTATTTATGTATACATTTATTACTTATATTTAATATAAGTTTGTGGTGCATCCACACTATGTCCATTAAGTGCACATGCGCGTCTTTTGTATACCCGAAGACAAAGTTTCCTTAAATTAACTAATTACATGTAGTTCAAGAAAAGTTCATCAAATCCCTGTAAAAATGTAAACAATGTTTCTTTTAATACGAACGTAACAATAGCTAGGCAACTTCATAAACAATTCGGGATTGTCCAAAAAGTATAATTCACTGTGAAATCTCTATCTAGTTTTTTTCTCTTATTAAATTGTCATAAAAGTAGATTTGAGATATTCTAATTACCTTGTAAATCTTACATAAATAAATTCATTGATTTCTCATTTGCAATTTAATTTTAATAAATATTGTAAAATAACAAAAGTGATAATAACAAATTTACCAATTCAAAAATGTTTGTATAATATAAACTTAAGAAATTTGGGATACTAAGAATTATTGTCGCCCCATGACTAAAACATTTAAGTATCCCCTGACTTACGAACTAGTTTCATTCCAAAGGGTTGTTCGTAAGTCGATTTGTTCGAACTTTATCATGGTTTTTACTTTTATATGATAAATTCCGTATTACTGACTGCATAAATTTAAAAAACTATAAAATATTTACAATGTAGACATCACAGTTAAAGTAATTATCAATTATTGTTTGGACAGTTAATTTTTTATCACTATATATATCTCCTTGTAACAAGTTAGAGCTTTTAGAATTTTGTTTGTAAGTCCGGGTGTTCGTAAGTCGAGGGATACCTTTATAATGTATGATGTCAATTGTCTATAAAAATATTATTGCTGGCGTTTCGTATAGTAAGAAAATGTTATGATTTTTTTTTTTGCAATATATTTTTTTTAAATGAATATTAATATTATTATTAACAAAACTTATATAATAATAATAATGGATTAAGATAATGTGTGTTTTAGGATAAATGTTTAAATCTGAATAGTATAAATATTTGTATTATGTTAATAACAAAAACAAGTTCATACTGTTATCGTAATTAATAAGTTTATTCCTGTTGCTTGTTATTTGGAAAACGGCCTGTACAAGATAAACCGTCTCTAAAAATATGCATATATGTTTGTTGGAAGGATGCGGAGATACAAAGATGAATAAAAAAGGGGAACTTTAGAATGATATGCGTGAAGTAATTGCGATAAAATATTCGTAAAAAGTCCATAAAATTAATATTAAAGATAAACTATAAATTTTTGAACTTTGCTCCACGATAACTTATAGATTCATTCGTGCTAATTAACATACCAATATGTTCATCGATAAACAAATGCGACTTCACGTTGTTATTATCATTAGATTATAATTGGTTAATTACGAATTGCAAGAAATGAATTGGGTATCGAAATGCGATGGGCCGAAGGATACACCAATGGTTACGTAATTGCGTCGCTATTGTATGATATATCCTACATGGTCATACCATAATGGTTTCGTTGTAATCCCATCTGATTGTTTCATGGTGTGTTCGATTTATCGGTCTGTTTATGTGCACGGCTTTCGGAAGTGTGTCGCGTTACGCAATGCGACGGGGCCGGCCGGCAATGATAGTGAAAGCGGTGCGACCTCAGCTTTCCTTATGGGAAAAGTCGATATGTACGTTACGGGGCTCCCCTTCGGTGGATAGAAGGTGGGAAGAGGAAAGAAGAGAAAAAGTACCAACGAAAGACTGAGGAAAGAAAGAAAGATCTGCGGAAGTTACGCAATCCGCGCGCGGATTGATCGTCGGTGCACGCGGAATTACGTAACGAACCGGGAGTTCTCCGTGGATGCAGCCGCCTAGATTCATATAATCATTAAATGCACTTAAAAAAAACAAAAATTGGCGAACACTTCTCCCCTTCTCACTCACACACATATGCATAGGTATACCAATAGGATTACCTAATTGAATTTGTGATCCGCGAAAATGGCGCATTACCGCATCGATCTTTACGATATGTGGGACATCAGGAAATTGCAATTATGTCATTAATGTACATGGATATATACTCAATTACGTTAATATTACATTTTCTTTTAATTATATTAGAAAATATTAATTATCATGTAACAAGGCTCATAAATAATTACAATTTCTAAATATTAATAAATGAGTTAACACCGAATTCTAATATTCGTTTCTAATATAAATAATTCAAATATAAAAAAAAATTAAAGACATGCAACAATAGGAAATAGAATTATGTTATTATTCAACTATGAATTAATTAGTTAAATATATCGTGTAAAACATAACTGTTTTTGTTTTCGAATTAAGGTAGAATAAATAATAATTTATTTACTGCTTTCTTAGCATCATTCGTATAGTAAATTAGTATAATTTTTGTAACTTTAACTGCTTAGTTTTTTTTTAACTAGTTTAATTTATTATAAAATGATATTTTAAAATTAAAGATTTTAATTAATATTGTAAATATTATATAATAATAATAATAACGTTTATCACAACAGTAAAAAAAAAGTAAACAACTGTAAATATATACGGACTTACGAACTCCCGGGCAAAATTCTAAAAGCTTTATCTATATTTGTAATGTCTACATTAAAAAGTATTTTCAAGAATTTTGTTGTTTTTCAAATTTATGCAGTCAGTAATACGGAATTAACCAAATAAAAGTAAAAACCATGATAAAGTGTAAGTTGGGGGATACTTGATCATAAGAGTAATTTAAAACCATCTCTAAGGATTGATTATAAACAACAATAGAATATTTCAATTATGCTAATAAATGTTTTTTTTCAATTGACGAAGAAATATTTAAAAGAAAACAATAAACCAGAAATTATATCAAATTGGCTAATCTTTCGATAAATTCATTTTACTAATTTGTTAAATTTTATGTACGTACTTAATAAGAATTGATTAAAAGAGGTAACGCAATTATATCATTATTTTAATTATAACTTAATAATTTCAAATTTTGATACTTCTATTACTTAACTAAGAATTTAAATAAAAGTAAAAAAAAGATTTGTACATAAAACCTTAATAAGAATTGATTTAAAAATTGAATGCAATTTTGTCATATTGAGAAATCGTCCCAATATTCTAGCCATAGAATAGTGAAATTATCTAGAAATAGGTAATAATTTGTGTATTTGATGAAAGTAAAAAACAGTATTGATTTATATATTAATTGAGAAAATTCATATTTTGTATATAAAAATGTTAAATAAAATGTTGACTATAATGAAATACAAATTAATCAATGGATGTTATAAAATTAATTAATGAAATAATCACTAATAATAATGGCATTGGCAAATTGTGTTAACATTGAAATTACTTATATGTAAAACAATTAATTTGTAAATAGATTGAACGTATACATTGAATACTAATGTCGGACAAATAGGATATAGCAATTATGTCATCTAATATATATGGATTATATATATTTTTATTTAAACTATTATTAATCGACTATCGACCACATTTTTGTCTCTTTGTTTTAACTAATAATACGATTTTGATTACGAATTTCCATTTCATATTTGTCAATAATAAACGAATAAATAATTATGTTTTCATCATAAATGAATCTCATTTTTATTATTTGTTGTTCTTTTCTGTTCTGAAAATTACAAAAAAAAATAAATTTTAAGTGACAAAATAAAAAAAAATGTTTTTTTTTTCTATAAAATTTAGTCCGGATTCAAACCATGCGGCCTATTGGCAAAATTAATTACCCACACTATTGATGTAATTTTAGCAAAAATTAACTGAATAAAATAAATATATTTATTGTTGGAGTATAATTTTATACTCTAAATAAATTAATTAATGTAGTAAGTCATAATGTTATGAATCTCAAACAAATCAATGTAATAAATTTCAATTATTCTTTGATATTTTATTGAATAGAAAACATTTAATACAATTTTCATAATCATTTTGTTATAAAATTATTAATTTACGATAATTAATATAAATATACATATCGAAAACAAATTTAAAGTAGAGTTATTTGTAAAGAAAGCGAACATTTTGAATTTCCTTAAGAAATCTCCTGAAATTGAGTAAACCATTTATTTACTTTTACTCGACTTTCGTTTAGACACGCGGATGCATTTGCATTTTCCGTCGCAGTTTAATTTCCAATTAAATTGCTCGCAAAGTAACAGAAATCGACCGAGACAGACACAATCCCAATGACAATGTTGGAATTTAAAAAAAGCGAACACAAATGAAAAAAAAAACAACAACTGTGTATTTGTTTGTTTTGCAGCGTCTCATTAATGTCACGAACATTATCATTGCTCAACTTTCTTTCGAATCTATATTGTAAAGCGTTACACGTCTCACGACGATTCGAGTATGTGAATTATGCAACGGAAACTCCCTATGCATCATCATCACCACAGACGAATCTTATACAATATTTATTACGTGCATGTTAAGAACAAAACGTTTTATTCATTATTTTCTTCTACTATTAAGTTTAACTTGACTTGAATAATAAATATATAAAAAAATATTATTGTAAACATAAAGAAAAACAAACATTTATTGAAAAATATCATAATTTATGGAAAATTTTAAATATAAATTTAATAATTAAAACATAAAATAATTTACACTTATTATAATTTTGTATTTACATATTTAATTTGATCTAAAAATCTAGTTTTTTTTTAATCAATAAATAATTTAAAAAAAGAAAATCCTTTATAATTATTTAATTTATAATATATGTATGGTAAATAGTAATTAATGACGATTGAGTTAATTAATAAATTTAAATTAAATATTTATATCAACAAATATTTAATGTTTAAAATTGGATAGTTTTGTGTTAACACATGAACAAAATTGTTTAAATAATTAAAAGTTTAATTGATTGTATTAAAATTGTAAATATTGTTTTAATTTCTAAATTTTCATTACATAATTATATAAATGTTGATGTATGTTTTGTTGTAATTATAAAAATAAATATTCTTACGAGTTTCATATATGCTATCAGTATCGTTAGTTTGCGCTTCGATGGTAGAAAACGCGATCGTCCCTAATAGGAGTATAACAAATTGCAACTCCATCATGTTATCACTTAGTCACTTGTAATCAATCACATGTACTTCTCGATCGGCGTTATTGCGCTCTACACTGACTGCGTTATATAATAATATAATATCAGGTGCAAAAGCGTTAATGTTATGAATGTAAACGGGTGAAAGTTGGGGCCTTTTGATTATATAGTTCGAGGGTGAAGAAGGGGACCCCGTACAGCGAGTAGGGATAACAATGAATATGCACATAACGCGCGCACTCAATTGCATTCTCACCCATTACAGTTGGGCAACTTTTCACATTGTGATGGAATATCCTCTTCATCACACAACCAAACACACAATGCTTCAATGAACACATCCCGACATGGAAAACTATAATTTCATTTAATTCTACTACTTCCTACGCAATTATTACCATTTTCCTGGCTTTTTTCATTATTATTTAACAATGTTTGGATCATCAATCTAGATGTACCAATTTTTGCGGAAGCAGAACTTTTCACTTCAATGTTCTTCGTTTGTATTGTATTATTATATAATTAGCACAACTCTTCACTATAACTGTATGATTTTTTTTTTATAAAAATGAAATCAAGAAATTATAGTGAAAATAAAATAAATTTAATATGACATAAGTTACAATTTAATGACAAGTCAAATAACAATTAACAATTAACGTTGATTAAAGTTGATTTTCACAAATACAAAATATTTAAAATAATTTACAATATTAATATGTAATTTTATTGTTATTTATTTGTATTAATTTGAACTCTTTTTATAATTTGATTGGATTCTTTAAGTAAATCGTTACATAATTAATCATTAGAACTGTGAAGATTGTTTCAAAGGTATTAAGTTTCAAATGGAAGACAGATATGGAAATTATTTATAAAATTAAAGTTAACAATTTTATCAAATTTTCATGTTAGTATAAAAAGCAATAGCTATTCAACAAATTCAAACACGATCTCAATTTAATGTAGATTTGGAAACGTTTTCAGTTGAAACTAATTACACATTGGGTAATTTAAATAGCGCTGCTACTGGTTGCGTATAGTTTTGTATGTGAAAAACGGCTAAGGACTTTAAAATTATTGTTTCATCAGAGCTCTGTACAAATAATGTGTACATAATTCCTTTATAGATTACAGATACACTTTGCAATTTGGCCAATTTAAACGAAAAAATAATAATAATAAGTGAGTGTATGTTGCAAAAACCAGACAAGCAGAAAAAATGATAAATTTTTCATATTTTCTAAAAAAAATATATTGCATCACAAATCTTTCCAAACTATATATATAATTGTTTTATAGATTAATTTGGCTAAATTATACGATAAAATGTACATGGTTGTACATTGCTGAAATCAGACATAAAAATGATAAATTTGACACAATTAATAATACATTATTGTTTCATCATGTATAAACTATTTGTATATAATTCTTTAATATATTGCAGATATACATTACAATTTAGGAAACTTATGATTACTACAAAAGTAGAAGTACTATAATTAAACACAAGTTTATGATATTGTAAAAGTTATATTAAGTAATATTTTTTTTCAAATCTTATATAAATTAACAATAATCTTATGAAGCAAAGAATAAGAACAACTGTTCATTGTCGGGTTTGAATATATTCAGATTAGAAGCCAGATACTTAACCATTAAATCTGGAATTACAAAGAAACTTCAATGAGAATATCTGCCAGTTCCATCATATAGAACAGCGTTTTACAAACTGTGAGGTAAGGGGAGGCGCGAATATTGGTCACAGTGAGCAATTTTCCAAATGACTGCTAAAGTTTTATCTACTTTAAAAAATGCAGGGGGGAGGAGGGAGTTGCTAAATGATTAAATATTATTAAGGGAGGCGTGGTAACATAAAGTTTGAAAACCACTGATATAGAATGTCCTTGCTTTTTTTAAAGAAATAGCTACAATTGAAGGCAAAAAATATGCAAAATTTAAAATATGTAGTTTATATTTCATATTTACAACAATCTACGCAACTATAGAGATATTTCTCACATTTGCTCAAATGACTAATTATAATACACTGGTTTAATATATCTGCAATGCTCCTATGTTTTATTTGAAAAGCGATTGATGATTTCAAAATTTTTGTTTTTAATAAAAAAAAAACAATATTTATCTGACAACTCTATGTACTAATTAATATTAATATATATATATTATTTTATATTTTTGGCATTTAAAAATTATATTTTTTTTATTTAAATTTGAATTATAATAATACAACTTGAGCACAAATGTTAACCTTGTACGTATTATCAATGAACAAAAAAAAATGATACACGGTCATGATGACAAAAAAAAGTGGTTGTTATTTGTCCATTATCGTCGCTGGGTATCTTTTTTATATGCAAGACTGGTGCTAAATAATATATCGTTCGTCACATTTGAGGAACATGCATAAAAGTTCTACTGTATTCGAACACAAAAATGAATGATTTGTCAAGGATTATAAATGAAATCATATGCATGTATTAAGTTATTTAATCAGATGATATTATCAAAAAAAAATATTTGCAATACAGTCTAGACTCTAGACTTTAGGAAAGTAGAAAGTCGTATGTTTTTTTTTTGTTATCTTATTATTTATATATCTATTATGTATAAACTGGTTTAATTTTTTTAAAAATACAAGTTAAATATTTGTAAATATAATCATTTTGCTTGTTACTAAGATGGATTACTTATTTACATTTATGTTGACCTTTTTTAATATTAGTGTTATAAAAGGTAGAAAGACTTGACCCATATGTAAATAAATAAATAGTATTACAAATGCAAAAATTACAAATATAGTAATAATTTTATAATATAAAAGCTGAAAACATTAAAATTAATGTATTTTAGAATTGGTTAATTTTGACAATTTTTTCAACATTATTAGTGAAGTGCCATTAGTTTTGTATTAGGGAATCAAAAACACATGAAGTAATCCAAAATACCTTTTTGTTTAAAGAAAGTCCTGAAATTCTAATATTGTGAATAAGATAAATGTTTATTTTTTTTAATTAAAAATTTATTTCAGTGAAGACAAATATAATCAAAAAAAAAATATTTATTCCATTTCTTAGATAGTAAAACAATGTATAAAAAAATACAAATATGTACATATTTACAAAAATATAGTAATTAAATTATGCTCCGCATCCGGCGAATTTCTAACCAAAATCTAAATAAATTCTTTTCCAACCCGATGCAAAAATATAATGAAAACTGTGCAATTAATATAAACGTTTTGCCAATTATTCAACTACCGTTTATGTCTTTTGCTAAACTATCGAATACTTTTTGATCTTCCTTCTTGTCGTCGCTCTCGCTTTCTTCGGGAAGCCACAGGTCCAAAGGCAATTTGGAAAAAATATTATTTGTGATATCTGTAAATATTTGCGCTAAACTTTCACCGAGCGGTTCCTCCAATTCGTCAACGACGTCCAAAGCGTTTTGATTCAAAAACGTGTTCACAGTCAAACCTTGAAAAGTACAAAATTTATACATAGATATTTATTATAGACTCTTGCAATAATATTGATAATTTCCTGTACAGAAAATTTTCTTACCAAGAACTTTGTTTCCATTAAACAGATTATCCAATTGCACTTTAACCTTCTTCATATTAAAACCGACGGTCATATTGTCGATGCTGATAATTTTCCTTCCATCCACTTCTTTCAAGCTTATGTTTGACTTTACTCTGGTGTCCACACCGTTGAGGGACAACTCGCAATTGCCATGTCCGACTAAAGGAAGGATCAAGATTTGTCCTTTAAGATTGTATTTGGCTTTGATGTCCAAGAGTGGTAGATAAATTCCAAAGTTCAACTTGTTCTTTTCCAAATTCAAACTGAAAATAATTAATGAATCATTTTCAACTTTCTTTTTTATTATATGTCTTTGCAAATTATATAATGAACTAAAGGTTGCACTTTCTTTTATAATTTATGCTTATAAATTATGCAATTATCTAATACAGTAAAACCTCTCATAATACGGCTTCGATCAATCCGGATTTAATTGAGCAAATTACATTAAATTACAGGAATGATCGTTTTTTCGATGTTATGTATTTAGTTCCTCGGTTAGACCGGATTTGACTACCCGCACTATGCGATATATTGCTAACTTACTCAGTATATGTAGGAGTAGAATTTGATGGACCAACTACTGTTAAATTGTGAAAACTTCCAGTTAAAGTCACTGCACCAGCGCCTTTGGTTATAGAAACTTTATCGATGAAGAGTGGTTCGAATCTATCTATGTTCATCTCCGGAATACCTAAAATATGCATAATTTAAATAATAACACTTTCACCTAATCACCATTAAATAATCTTCCAAAACACCATTTTTTCAATTATGTAATAGTAATATCGATCAAAAATACAATTTTCTGAAATCGAAATAGAGATTACTATTAATAAGAAATTTGATTTTAAAGTTATTAAGCGAATAGGAAGTAATTAGCACAAATTACCTTAATTAACATGTTACTTATGACGTACTAAATATTAAAATAATTCGTTTTTTTTAATTACCTTTTGCTAATTCTGGAAACATCTCTGTAAACAACGCAGTCAAACATTTATTCATATTCGGATCCGTCCTCTTGCAACTCTTCAACCAATGAGCTGTAAATACACAGAAATTATTCTCAACCCATCATCACTTTGTTTTCTTTATCTTACGTCTGTAATTGAGCAAAGGTCCTTTCTTCACCTCGTATCCATCCACCAGCGCCGCAACCAGAACCATCAGACACAGTTTCCTCAACATCTTTCTATTATTAATGTTACTTCTGCAATAAAACACTGAATTCAACTCGATTCCTTAAAATAAACTAAACAACTAAAGAGTCCAAAGCCTTTACTCGCCGTCTCATATATTTCTTTTTTTCCTCTTCCGTGGGGACGTCCGCATCGCATGTGACTTTAATTTTTATAATCCCCTACTTAAGTGTCAAAATTGTGTGCGGAATGTCTCGGTGAAAGTAAAATCTTTCGCATTTCTCCAAAGATATTTCATCTACATTACGTATGCGGTTTGTTTGATAATTATTTTTAGTGCAAATAACGACGGTTGCGTCACTTACGTAACCGGCCTCTAACCTACTTCGACAATGTAATTCTTCTGAGTTGTTCTCAGCACAGGTGACGCATAATTTGTTTTTATATTATTATTATTGCTGTTATATAATATTCTCATTTTGATTCGACATTTCCAACTGTGATTTTTCATCATATTTATCCTTCCTTGTAACACCTTTTTCATTTTGAAAATTTCTTTTGAATAAATGTTCTAATAAAATGTGTGCTAAGATTGCTAAGACATTTGTATTTATGTAACACAAACTTATGAAAAATAATTGCTATATTTGTAATAAGCAACCAAAACTGTATTAATATTTTACTATATTTTAATAAATATTTCAAATAAAAAATTATTATCACAATAATAGAAAAATCTATTGACTTAATTAAAATTTGCGCCTTAATTGAAAATACTTTCATCAAATGTAATAATTTATGATAACAAAAAAGGCAGTAATGATTTTCTTCTTACATTTTTGCAATATTTAAACATATTTTTTAACAATCTTTGATTTGGGGAAATCAAAATATTCAGATTAGTGATATTAATAAATTTATTGCAGATCCATTGAAAAACAAATTCAATTTAATTAAGTTTTTAGTATATACTAACAACAATTAAGTGTTGTTATTTCAATAAAGTAATGATACATAATTTTAAATAAGTTAACGAAATGCATGCTCTTTCCGCATAAAGGATAGTAAATGTTACAAGGATTGTAATGATTAGAAAAATGTTTTATATCAACATGTATTTAATAAATAAAAATATAACAATTTTCATAAATACAACATAAACATACATTGGAAAACAAATAAATTATGATTTCTAACAATAACAACGAATTAAATTTAATTTGGGAATGACATGCTGATTGGTATCTTTTCGACGATGTTGTTAATGATATCCAAAATGATGGGTTCCAAATTTTCTGTGATGACTCCTTCCACCTGTTTGGCCAGATTTTTGCCGTTGTCATTGATAAACTTGTTGGCATTGTCACCTAACGAATAAATAAAATTATTTGAAATCTATTGATATTAAAGCATTGGACTTACCGAGAAGTTTATTTCCGTTGAACAAATTGTCCAGTCTGATCTTCACGTCGTCCCTGTCTAAATCGAATCTTTGAATCTTGTTTACTCTCATCACCTCAACTCCATGCACATTCACAAGATCAAATTTCATTTGTAATTTGTTGGTGCTTCCTTTAATATCCAAGAAAGAGTTTCCATTACCGGCGATTGGCAATATCAAAACTTGACCTTTGAAATCGTAAACTCCGTATGCTTTCATTTGAGGCATATACATATTAACGGAGAAAATCCTTTTGTCGAAATTCATTCTGAACAATTACAATAAAAATAATTAAAAAATAAATACATTTATAATAATGAAAAAAATACATTATTTTTCAATAAATATATTATGCTAGTTACTTACTGTGCATCTAAAATTTTTGTGGCTCCCATTCCTTCCATGGTGTAGTTTCTAAGAAAACCAGTTAGTCTAACTGCTCCATTTTTCTTGTTTATTGGTAGATTCTCAATGAACAACGGTTCGATTGGATCGATATTAAGTTCTGGGTTTCCTGTAAAGTACAATATCATGTATCATTAATGCTTAAGGAAATATCCATTGTTTACCTTTGATTGTCTGCTGAATCAGAGATGTAAATAATTTCAGGAAACATTTATTTGTATCTGGACCATTTCTCTTGCAAGTCGGTACCCAACTGGCTGAAAAAAATAAGATTTAATTAAAAAATTAAATTAATCGATAAAACTTTATATCAATTAATTGTAAATAAATAATTTAAATATAGGAGAAAAAGACCAAAGGTCAATTGTCTATCGTAATGTTTTTTTATTAATAAATACATACACCTTTCATATGCAAAGAAGTTGACTTTATATACTATAATTTCTAAATTAATTAAATTATCGATATTCTCTATCTGAGCAATATTAAAACTGATACTGAAATGTTAATTATATTGAATTTCTTACGTTGAGTTGTAAGTACTGGAGCATCTCTCTTTTGGTAACAATCGATGACATTCACCAATAAGACGATTTCGAAGATTAGTTTAATCATGATGATGAATTCACTTCACTTTACTGTTTCGAAGGCAAAGACGAACTCGTTGGTGAATCTCAGATTTGTTCGATTTTATATATTCTTCAGTGAAAGCAGTTTACCCAAAAATATCAATATCTAAAAATTTCTATTATAATGAATAATTAATTTTAACCTATTTTTTATATTAATTTTTTCTTTCATCTTTGTAGACTCTCGTGGAAAGCTACATGCGTTAAGATTTATGTGTTGTTTTAGAACTAAAGATTTGGAATATTAACGTTGTCTCTTTTTTATTGTATATAAATCTGATCGTCCTATGGACTTTGAAGTTTATACTTCATTGACAATGTTCATAAATTTTATATGTTTTTATTTACTTAAATGCATTTAGTCCATGTTATATTTTAATTAATTCATAATTAATTACAATTTTAAACACTTATTATTGTGATTCAGTTGAAATTATGTTGAATCACAATAATTGTTTCTTGTTATTTCTTTAATATACAAACAACAATTATATTAGTTTTTATTTAAAAAATATATTTAATTATAATTTAAATTGTGAAAATGTGTGAGAAATATTTTTAAGTCAACTTTTTCTCATTCTTAGTATGTAAATAACTATAATATTAGTTATATTTTCCATATTTCTTGAGGTTTTCATCAGAATAGCAAGGTTTTTACGCAAGTAAATTATGTAAATGCGGTCGACTTTAAGATGTGTTACTTTGACATCAACTTCTGTAATTCAAAGAAATAAAGAATGATAATAAAAATAACATAACATAATAACATAACATAACAAAAATAAATATTTTTATAAAATTACAAGAATCAAACAAAAACTACCAATTGCTAAAGATCTATTGTTTGATATTAACTGATATATATGAATCAGAATATAATAATTTTCTAGATTACAACATGTATATTTGGTGGCCTATACTAATATATTAGATATAGCTCTAAATGTACCACTGATAAAGAAGTTTCAATATAACAAAGTCCACAATTATCCGAAAATATTGATAGTTCTTAAAAAGTCATTAGAAAATGCTTAAATGGAGATTGGTGTAGAGATATGGCCAGAAATTGTACTAGAAGAAAATATGTTGTTCAAGAAATTAATATCTCCAGATGATTCAATCAATAGGATTTGAAAATATCGATGAAGATAATGTTTATTATCTATTATCTAACTTAGTTAGTAAAATGTTTAAAAAAATGTGCTTAAATTACATTGAAAACGCTAAAAATCATCCTGATTTAGTTAAGGTATTAAATGCATAACTCTGTGTAGGCAATGGGAAGATGACAGAGAAAAATAGTACAAACAATCTTTGAACTAATATGGTTTAACTTAGTAAGTTCAGTATTCCCTTTGCGGACTTAGCGTGTTTATCTCTAAATACAAAGTTTTACTTCGTTAATCGAGGTATGACTGTACATTTTATGGTATATTTTTATTCCCTTAATGTAAAATAATATTGTTTTACCGTAAAATTTTAAGGTCTTTATTTAAGAAACAAATAATTAAAATAAATATTTTCACATCATAACAAACAAAAATACAATAAATACAAAATAATTAAACTAATTAAGAAACATCATAGAAAAAGGTATTTTTTCAAATAAACTATTCACAATTTCCAAGATTGTAGGAGCCGTACTTCTCGCAATATTATGTTCAACTAGTTTGGATATAACTTTTATATTTTCATTTATAAATTTATTTGCTGTATTTCCTACAAAAAAACACATTAAAATTCTTAATAAAAAAATAAATAATTAGTAATACTAACCCAATACTTTATTTCCGTTAAATAGATTATCAAATTGGACTTTAACAAATTGCCTATCCAGTATAGCCTTGTCGAATTTCGTGATTCTCATCACCTCGACTCCATTATTTTCAACCAAATCAAAGCTGCATTCGATTTTATTAGTATTATTTTTAAGAGTGACAAACGAATCTCCTCTTCCGGTTATTGAAAACTCAAATACTTGTCCTTTAAACTCGTAAATACCTTCTGCTTCTACCATGGGAATGTCAATGTCAGCGGTAAAAGTTTTCTTTTCTAAATTGATCCTGAATTTAAATTGAATGATATTAATGAATTAAATTAATTTAATAGTTTCGTTTACAATGCATTAACAACGTTCGATGAACCTAATCCTTTTATTGTGTAATTTTGTATGGCTCCTTTTAATTTCACTGTACCAGTTTGTTGAATCATTGGTAAGTAATTAATGAAAATTGGTTCAATTGATTTCACATCACTTTCAGGAGATGCTGAAAAATTAAATTAATGATAAATTATTGAAGAAAAAAAAATTGGATTAAAATAAGTTACCTTTAGATAATTCGGAGATGACGGAATTCATTATTTTTGTGAAACATTGACCTCTATTTGGGTTCTCTTTTTGGCATGGTTCCAACCAGTTTGCTGAAATAAACAAAAAATATAAATAATTTGTGTTTCGTTGAAAACAAACTGAATCATAATAATACGTTTAGATGTGTATAGAGTCGGTGATTTCTTTTCGTAGCATTGAACAATGCCTATAAATAAAATAATCAAATACTGTAGTTTTGACATTATTGAAGTTATCTGTTAGGATTTTATTGCAAACTGAAGGAGATTATTCAAAGAGTAATCTTTTTATAGTGAACGAAATTTCTTTCTTAACACTTTTTTATTTATTAATGTGACTAATTCATTAAAATATTAGTCGAAAGTTACAGCTGCATAAATTATAGAAAAAAATAATATTGTCTATAATTTAAAGTATATATAAAAAAGATCTATTATTTTAAATAAAATAATTAATTTACATTGATTTTAGAAACATAATTTTGACCTCGTTCCTTCATTCAGTAGTTGTTTTCTTTCTACTATTTTTTGTATTTTGAATATATCCATAGGATTATGAGATTATATTTAGTTTGATTGAGTCTTCTACTTTGAGTCAAATTACCATATATGATGTTGGCAGAAATGATTAAATAAACAATGAAATGAAAAACAATGAAAGCTAGATCCATTCCAGTTATTTAATTTTATTTCTGTTCAATAACTTGTTTAAAAAACGTTTATTCCAATAGTAAAAAACATTATTACAATAGGAAACTAAGCATAGATCTTCTTGCCCAGAAAGAATATATGTTGTCTTATGTAATTTTCTATGTGGTTTGTCGTTTTTTAAAACCGTAATGTAATTCGAAAAACGGTTTTTTCCAACTAAAAATACGGTGTTTGAGCTTAGATTTAAAATATAAAAATTAATGAAATATTTTAATTATTTGGTTAAAAATATAAAAATGTTGACACAAAATCTCTGTTACTTAAATTGAAAACAATAATGAAAATTAAAATTAGTTCTATGTATTTAGTTTAGTAAGAATTTTAATTATTTTATAAAATCTACAGAACGTTTAGATAAAGACGTCTAGCTTATTTTTTCTAAAGTGAGATCATTAAGTTGTTTGGACAAATATTATCAAGATTGTACCGGATGATGAAAAAACGGCGAAGAAGAAAAACAAATCATAGCTTTCTTTGAAACTATTAATTCATAAATATCTTCAAGAAACCGAAGATGTGACTTTGTTCTGCTACTAAAAATGGAACTTTTAGTATTAGAGGATACACAGAGAAGAACGAATAATTTAGTTCATTTTTTTCATGCTTTACAGACGGCTAAACCCTGCTATGTTGCAAACCGTTTTTTTGTAGAAAAGTTGAGATTTGAAAATCGTTATTTTTTAAAAGTTGGTTCTTGTTGTATAAACCCTATTTTGTGTATTTTGGTTGAAATTGTATAAGAAATAATTTTTGATTTTGTGTTTTTTTTTTTATTATATTTTGATTTCATTTTTTATTTATGTTACTTACAAGTTATTGAACACAAAGTAAATATATACTTTATATTATTTATTTTATATGTAATTTATAATATTATAACGGAACTTCAAAACTCAAAAAAAAATTGAATGATATAAAATTATAGGCATCAAACAACAGTTAAAAATTGATGAAGCCGGACTATACTATAGATGAGCCGGACTTGACTGCCGTGGAGGGGTCATTACAAGGTCCGGTGTAAGTTCCGCCACTGATAGTACAAACTCAATATTAGAAGAGATAAGCCTCCATTATGTCCATTAATTACTTAAGATTAGCTGAAAAATATCTTGTTGATAATAAATATTATATTATTGAAACAGTCAAATATATGCAAATAAAAAAATAAATATGATTGTATCGTCTTTATACAATCATAACAAAATTATCGTTAAAAAGGGCAATTGAGCGCTGTTCTTCCGTTTTAACTATATTATTGTTTCTACAAAATAATTAAATACTTATTTTTTTCAAAAATAATCGTTCCCTTAAAGTTAAGATCCGCAACTTCTTCTTCAGTTGCCTTTTTTCGCTTCAGGGTGTTCCGCAAGGCTCCCCTCTGTCTCCTCTATTATATAACCTTTTTTGTTGTGATATGTATAGCCCCGATCCTAATATTTTTGATCCCAACCTCTATGTTCTCCAATACGCTGATGATACTACATTGATTTCCCACGCCTGTTCCCTTCAAAATTAACCCATCCAAGACCAAACTCCTTATTCCCTACCATTGCATATCCCCTTCGTCTCCCCATGTTACGTTAAATAATCATTCCATTTTCCCATCACAACTTGTTAAATACCTTGGAATCCTTCTTGATCCTAAACTCAATCTCAATGCCCATTCCAAACAACTCAAATCCAAAATTAAATCCAGATCCCGTCATTTCCGTTTCTGAACCTTCCGTAACTCCGAAATATCCATAAAGTGCCAAACATCAATATACAAATCAATATGCCGTCCTATCATTGACTATGATTTCCCACTATTTTCCCAATGCCGGAATCCTTTGGCCTATTAATATATATATTTTTTTATATTAGAATTTAGTTATTTATATGTATAGAATGTACTTTTTTTCTTATGTGTTGATGTTTGGCTAATAAATTATTATTATTATTAAAAAGTAATAAAAAATTTACAATTTTGTTTCAGAATCATAATTTATTACTTTCATTGTACGAGGTAGGTAAGTAAATTATAATTAATATAATTTAATAACGAAATACTTTTTATTAACAATGCACATAACAATTAAATAACTTCAATAAATATGATATAAATATAATAAATATTACTGAGGTAAACTTAATGATGTCGGGATTTTTTCCAAAACGTTGTTTGCAATATCCAAGATGGTTGGTGCCAAACCTTCGACGATGACACTCTCAACTTGTTTCGCTACGTTTTTACTATTCTCGTTGATAAATTTATTAGCATTATCACCTAAAACAATACTTGCATTACTATCAGATATCAAGTAATTAAAGTCTTGAAAATTTTACCTAATAATTTATTTCCATTGAATAAGTTATCCAATTGGATTTTAACACTTTCCCTTTCCAAGGAGAAATTATCGACTTTCGTCAATCGCATAACTTCAACCCCATCGACATCAATTAATTCAAAAGATATTACAATTTTATTAATACTTCCCTTAACATCTATGAACGAATTTCCGTGTCCAGAAATTGGTAAAACCAAAATTTGTCCTTTGAAATCGTAAACGCCGCTTGCAGCAATAGTGGGAATATTCAGAGTAATACTGAATTTTTTCTTATCAAAATCAATACTGAAATAAATTTGTTATTAGTTTATTGGAAGGTGTATTAAAATATTTTGATTTTACCTTCCATCGCTAATCGTTGTAGCTTTTAGACCTTTGATCAAATAATTTTGGAATGATCCGGTTAATCTAATGGCTCCAGTTTTCTTATTTATTGGTATTTTATCGACACGAAGAGGTTCAATTGATTCCACATTTAATTCAGGAATGCCTTTAACAAGCTCAGCGAAAATTGATCCAAACATGTTAGTGAAACATTTGTTTAAATCCGGACTACTCCTCTTGCAAGTCACCAGCCAACTTGCTGCAATAATTACGCAACATTATAATATGATCATAATTAACAAACATAAAACTTACGTTTTGTAGTAACAATAGACGCAGTACTCTTTTGGTAGCATTGAGCTACAGTTATGAATAAAACAAATAAACAAACGTGTTTCAACATTTTTAGTTGATGTTTAGATCGGCGATGTTCACTGCGTAATATTTGCATCAAATATCCGAGTTTTATATATACTCTAGAGAAAGCAATTTCTCCCAAAAAAAGATTTTGAATATTATAATCACTTAATTTCACCGCTACTTTTTTTTTGAATATTTGTATTTTGTTATGGTATAAAAAACGCACATTTCTGATTAAAGATTAAAATATATTTAGAAGCAAAATTGGAAATTTATTCCGTAATTATTTACATATTGTTTACTTTCACTTTTATAATAATTAAAGTTAAATGATATGACTGGAATGTATATATTTCATAATTAAAGAATCATATAATTAAATAATTAAGCATATATCATGGTTTGATTGATTTAAATTATAGAAGCTTTCATTGGCTATTGAAACTAGTTGGGATAAATTCATACCAATATCATTTTTGAAAAAATATTATAATGGAATAAATTTACAGTTTATTATTAGTCAACTGACGTCATATTATAAACTAATTCTTTCACTATTGATGTCATATTATAATTTTTTTTTCTGAATCAGTGAAACATAGATATGAATAATACATGAATACATTTTTTTTTATAAAATATAAACTTAATTTAATTATTTTGGAAGAAGAATCTCCAAAGGATATTTGTGGTAGATTTTGTTTGAGAATTTCTTGAATATCGATGCAATTGTGTCTTCCAAAACTGGTTTAATTTCGTTGGAAACTTGTCTCCAATTATCATTCAAAAACAAATTCATCGCTTCACCTAAAACAGAATTAAATGTATACAATTAATTTAATTAATTAGTATAATTTAAGAATATTTTCATCGTACCCAATTCTTTGTCTCCGTTAAATAGATTATCTAGTTGTATGCTCGCGTGACCTATATTGAAATCTACGTAGAAATCTTTAACATTGAAATAAACGTCGCCGTCCTTTTTGATCTGTTGTCCTTGCATAATGATTGTCGCATCAATATTAGCTAATTGAGAAAAAAACAAGTATATATCACTGAGTAATTGTTTAGAATTGATCTTGCTCGACTTACTGTAATTTCCATGACTCGTTCCAGATCCCTGTATGGGCATCATCAAAATCTTACCGTCCATCGTGTAATCGCTGATCAGCTCCAATCTGGGAATCCAGACCTTGATTCTGACCCTATTTTTATCCAAATCGATCCTGATAACAACAAAGAATCCATTAACCATCAAGAACAAAGAAACAACATCGCGCAACAAATCAAATAAATAATTTAAAAAGAAGTGAACAGCGGATCGTTAATATTGTTTTTTTCTTCTTTTTATCAATTCTTAATATAGAAAACTCACTTGACATGTTTTAAGGTAAAGTCGGATGGTCCGTAAACTTTGATATCCTTGTAGATAGATTTAACCGATACCGGACCGGCTCCTTGGTCAATGACAACCTCTGGAATCCTCAAGGGTTCGCAGCTCGGAATCCCGAATTCAGGTATTCCTTTGCTGAGGAGCGGCCGCAACTTCTCCACGGACTTTTTAATGCAATCATTCAAATGCGGATCAGATCGGTGACAAATATGAAGGAATGAAGCTATAACAAATACGTTAATTTTTCAAATCAAAATACCTCGCATAATGCGGTTAATTGGTTTTGACTGTTCGATTAGTCTAACTAAATTGGAATATCGTATACTAAATATAAACCGCATTATGAGAAAAAAAAGGGTTAATATTTTTTAGATTATATTGAATCCGGACTATGCGAAGTATTGCTGTACTTAGATTAAGCACTTACGAAGTTTTGTCGTTTTTGCAGAAACTAGTAGCAGCAGAACGCTCGAAATAAGCAAATGCTTAATATTCAACATATTGATTGCAATTAACTTGGACTCGGTGCAGTGTCCCTATTTAATGCTCAAACAACGATTTTCGTTTAGTTTGCTGTAATTTTGCTAGTGCAAGCAAATTTCGTTATACGTGAATTGCTTAATTCTTCATTAATACGCAGAATTGATATGCAAAAAAATAATACAACAGTAAATATATAACATGAATATATAAAATATATTTATTATATAGTGGAATCTCGCTTAACGTATAGTTAAATACTCGTATAGTGAAACATATTCAAAAATCATATAATATGTGTACACAAGTTTTAAAAATGATGTAACAGGCTCGCAATCCGATACTTCTCTTCTCATCGTCACTTGTAATGCGAAACGTTGTTCGTTAAGCGAGTCATTTTTCTTATAATTCGTTATGCGAAGTGCTTATTAAATGAGGTTCCGCTGTATATTAATTATTTAACATGTATACAAATTTCTATCTTTATTTAGATATATTCTTTATTTTTATAAATATTATTAAAAAAACAATTATCATTATCACTTAAGTATGAATTAAAGAATAAAGTATTTTATAAAATTTGATATTCAAAAGAACTGCCCAAACTTATGTTATTTTTACTTTTTAATTATTAAAAAATTGCTTACATTTTATAATTAGGAATAAATATTTTTGCAAAACTATAACACTGTAGACTTGTTTTTGAAACAGCATAAAAATATTTAGCACAAGAAGTGACTCAAACAGTAAAGTTTAATAATAAATGAGCAAATAAAATATATATTTTGTGTATTTTTTTTTTGCAATTTATTATGATTTTTCTGAATGAAAATTTTTGAAACCGGTTTATAAAGGAATCCAGATATTCTACTATTACTAAAAAAATATAAATATTGTCACTATATGTTAATTACAATTAATAATAAATATAATTTGTAACACTTTTATTGGATTTTAATATGATTTTATTGTTGAAAGGAATAAATAATTATTTTTTTCTTCTTTTCTAATCTTATTTAGTTCATTGAAATTGCGACCTGAAATTACTTCAAGGTAAATAATATAATTGACACAAATATAATTTCCTATTGCAATAAAAGTACCGCGGTTGTAAACGAAGATGATCAGTCGTCAATCGTCAAGATGCGTGCATCATTTATCATCTTTGTTTTGTTCGTCTACGTTGGTGTTTCGCAGGCAGAAACTAAGAAAAAACGTCAACTTCGTAAGTTATTTTATATTTTTTACGCTCATTTCTTACAGTGCTTTCGGAATTTATATATTAGTAAACTGAAGAAATAGTAAGGACTACTTTCTTATATCTATTTGTTTTTTTTTATTATTATCCTGAGAAAAATATATCAAGTAATTTGTATTGATTTGTACATAGATGTAATTATTTCTATACATTTATTATTAACGGTTTATTATTGGTTTTCACTAAATATGTCTCATGCAAAATTTGTATATATTTTTTCTTCTCTTTTATTCTATCTACTTGTCATGTTTATACGTTCAAATTATTGATTCAAGGACATAACATTGTTGTTATATAAATTTTCTATTATTGAATTCTATTATTCACCAAAATTTATTTAACTAATACAATTTACGTGATAATTGCTAAGAAAATGCAAACATTACAAGATACTTGTCATATATTTCATAAATAACTTGACTTGTTGATTGAGTTGATTTAAATAAACAAACAAAACTGAGTTTTATAAATAGTTTTAAACCCTGTTATACGTTGCAGCTGATTTCGTGCAAGTGTGTAAAAGAGATGATCCCGAACTGGACAAATGTTTCATATCATCATTGAATTCCCTGAGAACTCGTCTGGCTGATGGAATCCCCGAATTATTGTTACCAAAAATGGAACCATTGACGCTCCCTGAAGCAACTTTCAAAGACAGCGGTTTTATGGCCAAATTTTCAGACCTCGTCGTCGATTACATAACAGAAGGCACCGTCGAAAACGTGAAAATCGACCTAAATAATAGCCAAATCAACTTGGATTTGGTTTTACCAAGATTACGAATTAGATCGAATTACAGCATGCACGGAAGGATTTTGATCCTCTCTCTGAAAGGAAGCGGTCCAGCGGATGGAAATTTCAGTATGCTCTTAGATATTTTATTATAAGAATATTGAAAATGTTATTTTTCAGCTGATATTGTTGCTAAAGTCGAGTTAACCGGAACAACACAAAACGGTTACCTTTACTTCGAGGATAACAGGATGGACATTAAAATCGGCGACGGACAATTATCCTTCGACAAATTATTTGCCGATGATGAATTGAATTTAGCAGCGAATAAGATAATTAACGATAACTCCATTGAAATAATCAACGAGTTAAAACCGTTAATTGATGCGAGTGTAGCTGATTTCGTTTTACATTTGACACGTAACGTTTTTTCGGCATTCACCATTGACCAGCTCTTCCCAATGTAAACCATTCAATTTTCATATTTACTCAGATCAATTGAGATAAATGATTCTATCAATATTGAAATATAAATATTTATTTTAACTAATGCAACTGAATTGATTCGACTTCTTTAACCTTATTTTCCAGACACATTAAATTGGGTTTTTTTACTAGACATAATTGCATCATTCAAATTATTTACTTGACTTGTTATTATTCAGCTTCACCATTTCGCACATTACATTCTTTTATTACTAAAAACAACTTATTTTGTTTACCTTTGTTGCGCCGAAGATACGAACATATATAAAGCACGTTGTTCTTGAGATCGTAGTTAACGTCCGCAATGAAGACAATCTTGATCGCCTCGCTTTTTGTCGCCTCAGCATTCGCTGCTGATTTACGTAAGTTTAATTGAATTTAACGGAAGCAAAGTTTACTTAAGAAAATATTGATTATTTAAATGATATTTCTACATATCATCATTTTACATTTATCAGTCAAAATAATTATAAATTATAATTATTAAATGCATATTTATGTATAATCAATTAATAATTTAATATATAGAAAACAACAATTTTTAGATGAAACATTTTATTTATAAATTTTGTAGCAAATTTTATCAAGCCATGCAATGGAGACTCGACTAATTTATTACAATGTGTTCGAGACAATATTGAAGCATGCAAACCTCGCTTAGCGAAAGGAATACCGAAACTCTTCATTCCTCCGATGAATCCATTCAAAGTGAGCGAAGCAGCAATCGAACAATCGCAGTTTAAATTGGCCATCAAAGATGTGACCATTCACGGTTTCGATAAATTTGATGTAAAAGATTTGCAAATTGATCTTAAAAATGATAAAATCGAAATGGATATCGTGTTTCCCCACATTGATGCTTCCGGTGTGTACGAAATAAATGGTAAACTTTTGGTGCTTACCTTGAACGGAAAAGGACCTTTGAATTGTAACGCAAGTATGTAAATAATTTAAAATTATGATTTGTTGGATAAACAGAATTACGTTAATTGCAGCAAATATGGGTGCAAAGTTTGTAGCAGATTTCGAACGTTACGAGAGGGAAGGTAAAACGTACTTGAAGAAGAAGGATTTAAACGTCGTCGTTTACATAAAGGATGCGTGGATTAAATTGGATAATTTGTTCCAAAATAATAAAGAACTGACGGAGAATACGAATCGCGTTATCAATGATAACATTCTAGATTTCTTCCAGGAGATTCATCCAATTTTCGAAGTTATTTTCAATAATGTTCTTGGTAATGTTCTGTTCAAAATCACGGAAACCTATCCCTACGAAGATATTCTACCGAATATTAACTAATTTATGTATTTGACATGTTAGATTAGATTAAAAAGGTGTAAGAATAAAGTGAATTCAATTAACAATAACTGAATCTAAAAAACGAGTTAAAACCGTTAATTGATTGTTTTACCTAAAAACTTAAAACCTACCAATTTTCATATTTACACAGATCAATTGAGATAAATGATTCTAACAATATTTAAATAAAATATTTATTTTAACTAATGCAAACAAATTTATTCGATGTTTTTTTTTCCTTATTTTCCAAACATATTAATATATTCAAATTATGAGTGTATCTTGTTATTATGCAACTTTGCCATTTCGCATATTACATTCTTTTATTGCTAAAAACTACTTTTTTGTACGTTCTTGATCAATTTTTGTTTGCTTTTGTTGCACTGAAGATACGAACATATATAAAAGACGTTGTTCTTGTGATCAAAGTTAATGTTCACAATGAAAACATTATTGATCATCTCGTTCTTCGTCGCCACAGCATTAGCTGCTGATATACGTAAGTTTAATTGAATTTAACATAATCTAAGTTTACTTAATGAAATATTGTCTATTTAAAATTAATATTGTGATTTAAATAAATTTGTATAAATAAAACAAAAATATAAGTAAAACAACAGTTTTTTGAGATTGAATCATTTCATTTATAAACTTTCTAGCATCTTTTATTAAGCCTTGTAATGGAGATCCTTCAAAGCTATTGGAATGTGTTCGAGATAATATTGAAGCATGCAAACCTCGTTTAACGAAAGGAATACCAAAACTCTTCATTCCTCCGATGAATCCATTTAAAGTGAGCGTAGTAGCAATCGAACAACCACTGTATAAATTGGACATCAAAAATGTGATCATTCACGGTTTCAATAAGTTTGATGTAAAAGATTTGCAAATTGATCATAAAAATTATAAATTGAAAATGGATATAGTTTTTCCGCAAATCGTAGCATCCGGTGTGTACGAAATTAATGGTAATCTTCTACTACTCAACTTGAATGGAAAAGGTTCTTTGCATTGTAACGCAAGTATGTGAATAATATAAAATTATGCTTCGTTTTATTATACAAATACATTAATTGCAGCAAATTTGGGAGCAAAATTTGAGGCAGATTTCGAGCGTTACGAGAGGAAAGGTAAAACTTATATGAAGAAGAAAGATGTGAACGCCGATCTTTACATCAAAGATGCGTGGATTCAATTGGATAATTTGTTCGAAAATAATAAGGAGTTGACGGAGAATACGAATCGGATTATCAATGATAATATTTTGGATTTCTTCCACGAGATTCATCCTACTTTTGAAGTTATTTTCAATAATGTTCTTGATAGATCTTTGTTCAAAATCACGGAAACCTTTGCCTACGAAGATTACCTACCCAATTTTGACTAATTACTAGTGAATAAATTACGTAATACAAAAGTTAGATTAAAATGGATTAAGTTATAAAGTGAACTTTACTGTTACTTTTTATTTTATAACTACTTGCTCATTGATAACGTTATCATTTTAATATTATAAAATCTTTACAAAACATAGTTTTTTTTTATATTTTGATCATTTATCATTCTATTTAGACTTTATTTTAATGTTGTCTTTAACATCAAAGCTTCAAAATAAATAGTCTAATTTAAGGCCAATTCCTGATAATAATCCGATAAAATATGTCCAGAAATTGTATTACTAGAAGAAGAAAATAACTTATAAATAAAATATTTAAATTATTTTAATATACAGGTTTCCTACATATTTCATATTCATATTCATTTAATGTAAATTATTTTAAAGCATTACGTTTTGCCCCAATTATACATATATAGAGAAAATTGATTTTAATTTTTTATGCTAACTTGTATATATTCAAGTTTGAAAACAAATTATGAACATTCAACGTTTGTCGTTAAAAAGAAATTCATTTCATACCTGAAAATGATACTAGTATTGTTATTCACTGTATTTGTTGCCGCATCAAGTGCTGACTTAGGTAACTTCTTATATTTCGAGAATTTTAATAATTAATAAAAAAAAATATAATTTAGCTACTATTTTAAAACCATGCAATAGAACGAGTGACATAAACGCATGTCTCATAAACAATATAGAAGTAGCAAAATCGGAGATCATAAACGGATTTCCGGATCTTTCAATTCCTCCCCTAAATAATTTACTAATCACTCACTCCACTGTAAAAATTCCCAATTTGGATGTGGATTTTTGGAATTTCAACATAACCGGTCTCGAAAATTTCGTAATACAAAGCATTGACTGCGATTTAAACAAGGAAATTATCGTGATAAAAATACAATTTCCTTACGGGAAAGGCGTTGGTTCATACAAAATCAAAGGACACATCTTCAATTTGAATTTGGATAGCATGGGGGAAATAAATGGAAATGCTAGTAATTTTTTTGTAAGTTTAAGTTAAAATTATTTAAAAATTAATAATAATATTTTAGCAAATGCTATTCTACTATTCACAATGAGGACCAAAGTGATTGAAAAAGGCCGTGATTTCTATTTTCGGAGAGTAAGCCAAGAGGTTAAATTGCATTTGGAACACGGAGTATTTTATTGTTACATGGATAATCTGTATCCTGGAAATAAGATATTAACGGAGAAAATGAATGAAATCATAAACGCTAATAGTTATTACATGTACGAAGTCTTAGTTCCATTCGTAGAAAATATGTTTAATGATATTTTATCAGAAGCATTTGATTTACTGTTTGAAAAGTTTACATACGACCAAATGTTCCCATAATATTATAAAACTATAGTATAATATTTCATTACAATTATTAATTATGTTAATATTTTAATTAATTTAACGTTAATAATAAAGTGTTTTTTGTACAACAGTTTATTTTTAGGTAAATAAAATACTTAGTAATATTTTAATTTTTAATGTTTATTTTTATACCATTTGATTTTAATATGAAAAATACTTAATTATCCGTATATTTCTGTTGTTTATAATTAAAATAACAACTCAAAAATTGGACCATCATAAAAAAGTTGTATTTTTCAGTTTTATCATTCCTCTTATAATATGTGATTTAGTACATCTTGTGGGATCTGATATTATTTGGTTTGAAACTTTTCATTATTTTATCTGAAACTGACCGATCATCAGCAGTTTAGATCATCATTTTTTGGTCTAAGAAACATCAATATCTGGGGGTATCGTTAGCAGCCTGGCCATCGCCCAATATAACAGGACAGCGCAGCCATCAGAGCTGCTGACGTCACTACAGCAGACTGATGTTAAATAACGGTGAGCCAAAGTCTAACAAGAAAGCTTGGAGTAGTAGAACACTTTATAATGTTTACGCTGCTCCTGTATGGGATGAGACAACAATGTTTCAAGACGCAGAGTAAGTATTAACGTGACACGAAGAAACGTGCTATGAAGAAAGATGAGAGCCAGTCGGGAACGATTAAAGAAGTTGCTAGAGCCAAGCTGCTGGAAAAGTGACCGAAAAAATAACACAGCTAGACACAGCTTAACACTTGAGCGCTTTCTGGTCGTGAATGCTTTAGTAAGCATTTAGAGATATTCGTTGAAGAACTCAGGAAGGTTGGACATTATACCATTATATATGTCACGAATATATGTCACGTCTATGAAGGAAGAAGACAAGCATTGAGGGAGAGGGCCAACCAAGAAAGTGTTAGTGGAGACCAACACAGATGAACGAAGATGTGTTAGCTAGCAAAGACATTAAGCATTGTAGAGTAATATTAAAATACAAAACCTTGATATCGATGAAGTAGTAGAGAGGTTTTAGTTTCCTACCTACTAACACGACTCCACTCGTGGTCTCTATACAAGGTTTACTCTCTTGTACCTCACTAGGAATTGTAACAAAAATCTTCTGTTCTATGTTTATTCAAAATATATACTTCTTAATTATTTATGTAAGAAGACTCCTATTTCATTTTAGAAAAACTTTCCGTCTATGATATTTATTTTTCAAGTATCTTTGATTTTGACTGCCTTAACACTATTGGAATTGATATCTTTCTATAAAGTAGCATTTATTACATCAAAGGCAAAAATAGTATAGATTGTTTATAAAATGGTGCTTTCATCTGGAGTAGGACCTACATACAAGTTGAAATACTTGCCATACATTTTTGTTTTCAAACATGTACGTGCATCATTGCATGTTTGTTTTTAAAAGAGTAAATATTGATAAGTTTTCAACCAAATTGACCTGCGTCGGTAGATATTTCAAGAAATGTCATAAACATATTATCTTTTATGATGTGATAGTGTTATAGTGTTATCTTTATGAAATTGTGCAACAATGTTTCAAAGAGGAAAATTGACTCCTTCGGTACTTTTGGCGTACTCTGCGATTAAATTAAATTATTTCATTACTGATCAAAAGTTTATACTGTTTATATTGACATCAAGATATGTTTGTTGAATAAATTCTTCAAATTGAACTTGTAAATAATTTTATTCAAATATATATTACAGGTCTGGTGCCAATTACACATATTTCAAAGTGCAAATTAATAATTATCTAATTGCGTAATTATATAATTAATTTTATATTTTCCAAAAAAAATTAAAATGTATATATAAATATAAATGTTAGAAAATCAGTTCATAAATTATAAATATTGTGTAACGTTGAAAACATCAAAACAAAAATTTTATTTAGTAATAAAATGTTACCAATTTTATTGTTAATTAGTTTCGCAGCTTTGGCATATTCTGATTTGGGTAAGGATTTTTATTTACATAATATAATATCTCGCACAATTTAGGTCCATCAATATTTTTCAAGACTTGGCTGTATAAAGCAAAGATGTTGAATCTTTGAGCTTCACTATTAGAATACCTCAATAAAATACATAAACAAAAACAATTGTATTTATAGTCGCAATATTATAATACAATATTTCTGATATGTTTCCTATTTGTTCATTGCCAATAGTCAATTATTCAGTTTGTTTTGAAATTTTCAAACCGGAATGTAGTAAATCCTTTAATAGTTTTAATAAAAAAAAGCAGTTATACTATAATTTTAATAATTAATTTGTAATTCATCATTAGTTGCTTTAATTATTAATGTTTGTGATATTTTAGCTCAGTTGGTGAAGCCATGCAATAGAACAGGTGATATAAATGCATGTCTTTTAAATAATCTGGAATCGGCCAAAGAGGATATCATAAATGGAATACCAGAGCTGATGATACCAAATCTTAAAGTTATATTTATTACCCATTCCTCTATAAATATAACCAATCTTAAAATTGATTTATGGAATTTTAACATCACCGGACTCGAAAAATTCGTAATAAAAAGCATCGACACTGATTTAAATAACAGAATCATCAAGGTTACTATAATGCTACCTTACTTGGATGGAATAGGGTCATATAAAATCAAAGGAAACTTGTTCAATTTAAATCTCGATAGCATGGGTGAATTGACAGGAAATGCTAGTAAATTTAACATTATATTAACAATTTGTATATAATTACTGTTGAATTTTCAGCTAATTCCATTCTACATTACACTTTAAGGTTAACAGTGGCTGAAAGGAACCGTGATTTCCATTTGATGAGGGAGAGTCAAGAGTTCAAAATTAACATGAAAAGTGGGGTGTTTTATTGCCATTTTGATAATCTGTATTTAGGAAGCAATGAATTAACGGAAACGATGAATAGGATTATAAATCATAACAGCTACTACATGTTCGAAATGCTGATTCCGTTTCTAGAAAACATATTGGATGATATAGTAGGAAACGCAATCGATTTAGTTTTTGCAAGATACTCATTCGACGAAATGTTTCCTTAAAGCGAAAATTCAAAATCACACATTTTTATATTTTATTTTATAGATATTTTTGTTATCAACAATTACCGTTAGTTTTTTCCCTTACTTGTGTTTTTTAATAAAAAGTTTCCTTCAAGTGAAAGATTTTACAATTAATTACAGGTTATTTTAATAATATTTTTTTCAATTATCAATTACCGCTCATTTTCCCGTTCCATATTTATTTTAATTATATAAAAACTACTAGAGCTTATAAATGATTGATTTTAAAAGCGTAAGTCATTGCATTAGAACAGGTTATAATTATTGCTCTTATTTATTATTTATTAGTTGCTCATTTCAATGACTATCGAAATTTTTTTTTCAATGTCACGGTAAAAACAACAAATATTTGAACACGACGTATCTTAAAAATGAAATTTAATGGTTGATGCATTTTCTCTAATAACGAAGCTTTGATATAACGTAGTCCGCAAATTCAATTCTCATTTAACATACTAATGGAACTACTTCTATATGGCTATAAGTTCTACTAGAAGATGAAAATAACATCAAAGAAATAAGAAATGAAATCTAGCGAAAATAAAGACAAAATTAAAAAAGTTTCTGATGACGTTTAAAACGTTTTAGTATTTGTTTAGATAAAAAATGCACAAATTTAATAAAACTTTTCTTTGTTCGCATTTATCTCTAAAATCGCTTTACAAAGTATTTT